TTCTGACATCATAAAGAAACAAGCAGTCTCTTGACATCATAAAGAAACAAGCAGTCTGCCTCTGACATCATAAAGAAACAAGCAGTTTCCTTCTGATATCATCTAGAAACAAGCAGTATCTTTCTGACATCATAAAGAAACAAGCAGTTTCCTTCTGATATCATGTAGAAACAAGCAGTCTCCTTCTATGGTGTCAGGTTTCCGCCAAAACCCGTGCAAGCGTAGCCAAAACCCGTGCACGCGTATTGTGCACATCGCGCGTGCGAACGGGACTCGCGCGTGGAGGTTAGAACCTCATGAGTGAAAATATACATGGCGAGGAGGTCATTTGTACACTGAGAGGGAGCAAACTGTGTCTGTGAGCGCACAAGGATGTGCACAAGTGACAAACCTGCGTGCGCTCGTTGGCCAACGAGCACACGGCAGTGGAAAACATGCGCGCGGCAGCCTCACTGCGCGCTCGGTGCGGCAGCCTCACTGCACGTGTGGCAGCCTTTCTGCGCGCTCGGTTTCCGATTCTGCTCGCTCGGCTGTTGGGAGTTTTGGCACTCTGGAGGCGTGGAAGAATTAAAGTGCCAGAAACTGAGCAGTTGAACTTTCAATTTGAGACCAGAATTTCATATCAAGAGACCATCTTTTTAATTTCAGAATACTATTTTATATTATTGCTCTCAAAACTTGTAATGCTTGCGCTCAAAATGTCTGCTCTCTTTCAAATTCACTCTGTTCTCCTTCAAATCTTTGTTTTTGCGCTCAGATTTAACCTTCTTACACTGGTATTGTCTTCTCATGTGACAACTTTTTCTCTACACGGATCAAAACTCCTCCCACAAGTCTGTCCCCTGCTCTCACGGATCTTGTCTGCTCTCGCTCAAAACTTAGAAGTACAATCTCCTAGCAACCGCTCAGCCAATAGAAAGACTTGTGGGACTGGGCGGGAACAAACCTCTTTGGGGTGCGCTCGTTTTGCGCTCTGTGGATTTTCCTGTGGGGCTGCCGCATCTGCGCACTAACAGCCTGGCTAATACCCGCTCTGATCTGGAGCGAGAGTTTCACCTGCACCAGCAAAATGGACCAGAACCAACAAGACGCTCAAGTAAGTTATTTTCCAAGGCTACTAGCTGCAGTTTATTCCATAAAATTGTTTTGTTATGCTACTTTTTACGACTCCTCACATTTAATATTGCAACAGGGGCACATAGCTAGGTGGATTAGGGTCCTACATGGAATAAAATGTCCGGTGTTTTATCCAGGAACTGGGGATCGAGTTATGAGGGGCTAGATATGTGTCAGGGAAAGATCCAAAAATGTTTTCTAGTGCCGTATTCCCCAGAGTTGGATAAGTGAATGAAAAAGGATTGTTTTAACCAGCACAATAATTCTTATCTGCCAGCAGTCTGTCTGCTTTAGATGAGAATAAACCATGTAACTTAATGGGAGGTAGTAGCATTTTGTGTGCAAAACTGTAAAATTACTAAATTATGATACCAGTTATTCCTGTTGAGCTCAATAATCATGTTGACTGCAAATGAAAAGTAAGAAGTAACACATTTGCAGGAGCCAATTTAGACAGTAGACAAATTTTCACTTAGGGTGGAATATCCCTTTAAATCAAACTTCAAACATGCACGTTAGCAATATACAGAATATTTTAATTACATTTCATGTTAATCATTATTGTTTACTTAACAATGATTGTTGGTCACTGATTTAAAAAAATGTCTTTAATAGGTTTCCTGTCCATTGTGTAATAAGAATTTACTCAGGAGTCTATACAACTGCATGCCAGCTTTTGTGGTGAAGGAGGAAGAGGACAGGTGCATGTTTTTACCCATGCACGTTGTACACAAAATGTTATGAGAGTTTAATCTTTTTTTTTGTTTGTTTCCACATCTGAACAGCATCATACTGGATGTGGATGACTCTTCCAAGCACTTAATCTGGTTAGAATTTTTACAAACATTTGTGTTAATGTGTAGGTTTTAAAATAAATAATAATAAACACAATGTTGTTGTCAATAGCTTATCAGACATCCTGAAGTTCCTACAAGAAAGAGTTGACAACACTAAAACCTTTAACATAATGTGACAAGGGACGACCTTTACCAGAAAGGTCTGAAACAGCGGGCCAGACAGAAGCAGGCTTCCCCCAAAAACCAGCTAATTGTTTCCTTTATTGGAGAACACGACATTGATGAAGGAGCACTACGCCGAGAGTTCCTAACTGGTATGTATTCCTTGCTAATGTCAACATACCAACTTTGAATATAGTTGAAAATGGCAAACTGTCATTTCTTTTTTCCCAATAGAAATGATGCGAGGCCTTGAGTTGAACTTATTTGAAGGAGTTTCATGCAAAGGCAAAACCCCAAATATAGTATCTCTTACTACCAGGAAAACAGATACAGGTATGTACAGTATGATGCTGCTCTGCAGTGTAACTTGGCTTGTTTTGTGTTCAGGATCTGTGTGGAGATCATTGCCACCAGCTTGGTTCAAGCAGGACCAGCACCGAATTTCTTTTCTACTTGGTCTTACCATTTCTTGCGTCATGGACAAATAACAAATGAAGATGTGCCAGAGGTGACTGATACGGCAATCCAGAACCTGATTCAGGAGGTAAATTAAACAGAATAATTTATTTTCTGTAAATTGTACTAACAAGTGTTTCTGATTGAAGGTCGAACGTGCCGAAGAAGACGCACTGACAGACCTTTCTGATGCCATTGTAGCATGTGGCTACACTGGTCAATTCACAGCAATTGCAAAAGGGCCATCATTGAGTAGGCTATGTTAATGTAGCATTAAACAAGTCATGCAATTTTTGAAAATTGAGTTATTACAAGTTCATTATTCTTTTTTACTAGGGCCATCAGTTTGCATTCGGTGATGAGACTCATACCGATGCTAAGTCAGCTTAGAGAAGGACTGGCCATCTAGGGTTTGGATGAGCTGTTGCCACAACACCACCAGGCACTTCAGCCCCTCTTTCTTCCTGGGAACCTTAAACAGGTAAGTACAAATTCTTTAGGCCTCTGCAAAAAAAATATGTCCATTACAAAAACATATAGGAAATGCAGAGAAGCTGAAGCTGTTTTTGTTCCATCAACAGTTCTAATCGATTCTTATAAAAATACTAAGAATCAAATCGATTCACAAGTACAATAATCTGTTTGTTTAACAATGTTTGCCCCAATTTATTTTTTACAGCTATCATTTTTTTTACAGACAGCAATTTTAAGTTTTCTTTAAGGAAGCTATCAGATGTATTTTTTATTCTAATATCATGGCAATGAAGTTTTACATATTTTTTAGTGGTATACATCTTCATTTTCTTATATTAATTTAGCTCTGCAGGATAAGCAGAAGCAGCCCTAACAGTTTTATCTTTTTAATTCACAGTATTTTTAAAAACGTCTTTTGTAGGTGGATGCAGACTTCGTTGTGGAGGCACTGGCTCCTCAGTACAGTGACAATGGATCAGTAAGACACAAAGGAAGTGGACATGATCAACTTTTTGCAGGACCTCTTGCAAAACCTGGAAGAAGGAGGTAGCCACAGAACCATGCAGGATTATTCCACTTTTACTGCTCATAATGCTTAGCTCTTTTTAAAATTGTTATGTTCAGTGCCTTGGGCTCCTGCAAAGGCAGTGGAAGGTGTTACATAAATAAAAATTGATTGATTGAGAAAATTTTGAAGTGTCAGAGAGACCATTGTGTTTCACTCAATCCCCCATCAAATAAAAAAAATTTAAAAATAAATTATAAATATATTTGTTTTGAAACTGATTTAGCCATTACACCTTAATTACAGAGAGGTAATCAGTACCTCAATCATGTTAGTGACACACTGATTTTTTTTTCACCCTTCAGGAACAGATGACCAAGATGGGAGCCCATCAGATGGCTGTGGAGCAAAGCAGTTGTCAGTGCAAGGATTTTTTTCAGTGGGTTTCAGGCCAGGCACATTTGCCACTAAAGCCTGGTTTATGCTTCTCCGTCAGCTCCGCAAGGGACAGACACGCACGGATTGACGGAAGCGTTTTGCTCTCATACTTCTCCGTCTCCTGGAGAGTGTTGCAAAGCAATTCCCCGGCAGGACCACAGAGGGCGTAGCGCTGTTCTGTGGTATCCTGTCATGTATCGGTCCAAGATAGTGTGTTTATTTTGTGTTTTTTGTGTATATAAGAGACTTTTAACATGGACATATTTGTCTCTCATTCTTCTCCACTTCATGCGCTCGCCACCTCTAAACCCACGTTTCCTGTCATTTCCGTCCACAAATAAAACGCTTACTGCGCATCTTTTCACTCCTCCAGTCACGGGAGAATTAAACGTTCATGTTTTTAGAGTTTTTTCGCGAGGTATTCTTCAAGCTTCTCCGTGCCTGCCGCTAGTTATCCTCGGCTCTCTTTATGTTTTTGAGGGCGCAATGGCGGAGCTGTAAACAGCGGCGTCCTGACTAATCACAAGCTTGCGTAATCAGTCTCGTTCGACGGATGTTTAAAAAAGTGGGCTCGACTCCGTACGTACTTGCGAGCCCTACGCAAGGACGGATAATGGCGTTGCGTGTCCCCGCACTGACGCAGACGGAGAAGCATAAATCAGGCTTAACAGACACAGAAAGAGAATTTTACAAGATAACTAAATGTTGATCACGACAGTACCACCCGGTATGGACCACACTTAATCACCTTACCTACATGGCACGTTACTACATACACTGACTTTGAAAGTCAGCTTACTCAGGCAGTCTGTGATAGATTTGATTTTAGCAGACATTAAGTGAAAACAAGATGGCCACTGTTCTGGGTTCAGGTTACTGTATAATGGTTCAAATTTAACTTTGAATCCAAAAAGACAAATGGTTTTGTTAAATAATGTAATGTTTTGGAGCTAGAAAGCGACATTGTTACATGAATCCATAAAGTTAGGCTTATTGCCATTTCAAATACATGTTATGTATTTCTTTTGTAACATTAATAAAAGCACTGGAACTGATCTCTTGATTTTTTATTTCAAGTACACATTAATCTGACAAAGCAGCATTAACATATTCTCTGCACAATAGATAAAAGTTCCTTAGTGTTTGAACGCTCCCAATTTTGTGCCAGTAGCAACTGCAGTTCAGCATCTTAGGTGTGTTCTTGCTGTGTCTTTCTAAATCCATGCTTTCGTTCTTTTTTTAAACACAGAAACAGTTTTGTTTACCTGTTAGTAGCTACAGTTTCGCCGACGGCTGCCGGCTTCTTCAGGCTGACGCTGTTGGTGGCGCGTCACTTCCTTCTCCGTTTATCTGCGGGCAGCAGAGACAACTGCCCGCAGATAAACGGAGAAGGAAGTGACGCGCCACCAACAGCGTCAGCCTGAAGAAGCCGGCAGCCGTCGGCGAAACTGTAGCTACTAACAGGTAAACAAAACTGTTTCTGTGTTTAAAAAAGAACGAAAGCATGGATGCAGTTCAGCATGCTGCTCTTCAATGAGGGGACTGTCAAACTCCGGGACCACAGCAGCACCGTCCACATCTGGGCTGTACTCTGCAGCAACATCCCAGTCGATGTCTGGCTCTTGGAAATCCTGACATTACAACAAGAGAACAATGATGATGTTTCTATATTGAGCTGCAATTTGTCAACAAATAAGCAAAATTTCCTAAATTTTAATAGAAACCAAATTATCACATTGTTGTGCAGGATTACTATATGTCAAAATTAGATTTAAAAAAAAATACAAATAGCAGGGACAAGAATAACAAAAATTCAAAATGGTTTTGATTTAGAACTTTTACTATTTTGCAGGGGTGTAATTGTCATTTACTTGCATCACCGTAATTAAGTACAGTTTGCAATTTAAAATGTTTAACCTTTAGTAGGTTTTGGGGCTGGTTGATGAATAAAAGCATATTAATTTAAAAAAATCTAATCGATCGATAGATAATTATTTCAAAATTTTAAAACCGTAGAAGAGAATATATATTGAATTGCATCCCTGGCCATTTTATGCTATTTCTTTAAGCGACAGTCTGTAGTTTTCTGCCACTAGGGGGCAGTACGTACCTAAATCATAACAAACAAGCTACGTTTTTGTGTTCCGTGATGAGCCTACCAATGAATAGCCGTAAAGGCCACCAAAAAAAGCACTGGGAGTGTTGCAGCACAATTTTTTTACGGGCTAACTACCTTGTCAGATCGTTCAACCTCCTGCAAAATGACAACAGGCACATCGGACTCCCTTTCATCAGTCAGCAGTAGAGAAATGCCATATTTCACATTCAGTATCTTTTAAAGCGGCGTTCAGTATGTTCATAGAGCTCCTCATTTAGCTTCATGTTTGTGTTTCAATCTTTATTGAAATAATTTTTTAAACTTCCTGTAGAAAGCAAGGAGATCGTGATGTAACAGTTTTTTTATTTTTATATAACTTTATTAACAAACAAAGCTTACAGGCAGATGTAACTGCTGGTTGTTGGAACTGTGAGCTGCACAAAAACAGGCATAGTTGCTCCAATGACTGGATTCAAATTGGGTTTTGGAGTTAGAAACCTACTCAATATGGCGGTGAAGCAGTTACTCTCCAGCAGCCAATGATGTCTATGGTACGGCTTATGTACAGAGAAACATGCTGTCTAAAGCCTGGTTCATGCTTCTCCGTCAGCTCCGCAAGGGACAGACACGCACGGATTGACGGAAGTGTTTTGCTCTCATACTTCTCCGTCTCCTGGAGAGTGTTGCAAAGCAATTCCTCGGCAGGACAACAGAGGGCGTAGCGCTGTTCTGTGGTATCCTGTCATGTATTGGTCCAAGATAATGTGTTTATATTGTATTTTTTGTGTATATAAGAGACTTTTAACACGGACATATTTGTCTCTCATTCTCCTCCACCTCTTCATGCGCTCGCCACCTCTAAACCCACGTTTCCTGTCATTTCCGTCCACAAATAAAACGCTTGCTGCGCATCTTCTCTCTCCTCCAGTCACGGGGGAACTAAAAGTTCATGTTTTTAGAGTTTTTTCGCGAGGTATTCTTCAAGCTGCTCCATGTCTGCTGCTTGTTATCCTCGGCTCTCTTTATGTTTTTGAGGGTGCAATGGCGGCGCTGTAAACAACAGCGGCATCCTGACCAATCACAAGCTTGCGTTGTCTGTCTCGACTGACGGCTGTTTAGAAAAGAGAGCTTTACTCCGTCCGTCCTTGCGGAGCTCTCCGGCAGGCACGCAAGGACGTCGCGTGTCTCCGCACTGACGCAGACGGAGAAGCATGAATCAGGCTTAAGGCTACGTTCACACGGCAGGTCTTAAAAATCCATTCAGAATTTTTGAGTAAATTTAATGTTTTGTGTGGTTGTTCACATTATAACTGAAATACAACAGCAAACACTCTCCTGCGTTAACGTTAAAAGTACAGAAGAGAACAAGAACTCACACACTAGGAGCTCTGTGGAGTCTGAACTGAGAGGTGGAGCTGTGATCCCAAGAGCTTCACTGACAGACTTCATCCACAATTCCAGGATCACACCTGTCAAGTCTCCTGTTTTGAGCTGGAAACTATTTTTAAAACTAAACTATTTTACTCCTTATTCTCACAGTCGTCCCATGTTAGTATTTTCCCTCACTTAAGCCGCTTTCACATCTGGGTCGGCATGGATGCGTTCGGAACCAAATGTTTTGTTCACATATGGCTCACATGTGTGTATTTCGTTCTAAGGAGACTTTTTTTTCCAGACTACTTCCCTCGGAGGTCCGGCTGGTGCCGAGCAGACACTATGGACTGATTGGCAGCTGAAACTCACACCTACCGCCTCCTATTGGGGAGTTGGATCAAACACCGGGGGGTTTCCGCATATGCGATTACTTTTCATCCTGGTTGCTGTTTAGCCGACATGAAGCACTGAGCTGCTGTCACCCGCTCCGCAGCAGAGGAGGACAGCAGTGTGTGTGTTTGTAGCAGCGGTTATAAGGACACGTCTGCAGCGGAGGACACTACAGCGCTGAAGTAGGAAGGATTAGAGGAGAGCAGATTATTAGAGAAGCGCAGTGTGTGTTGGTGCAGCGGTTTGATGAGGAATTATTGTTTAGCATAGGCGGACACCGCAGACTTCTTCCGCGCGTCTTTACCGCCGCCCACATGCTCGGGGATTTCCGCATTCCTGAGAAGTCCTGGGAATCACATGTGAACAAGAAACCACCCGTTCTATTCCGAACTCACGTGGCTGAGCCCCGACCATAGCAAAGCATCAAAAAACGGAACCAGAAAAACTTTTAGCGCTGAACTCACCTTCAAAATTAAATGTTAACCCTAACGTTTACAGTTGAAGCCATTACAACATGTTTGAGGTAATTTGGCCACTCCGGCTCTCTGTAGTGGTTTCCCAATTACACGAGGGAGGGAGGGGTAAACAGAACTCCGTTGGTAACCACAGTGAACAGGCTTGATGAAACATGAACGAATATCCCCAAATAATTAAAAACCATGAAGCCAAATGCAAAGTTTAGGGCAGAACATTGACCCAGAGGTTTTCTGATTGAGCAGATTTGTGAGAATACATGAAATGACCGCTTACAGACGGAGCAAGCTAGTTGCTAGCTTATGTGGCTTGACTAGTTATATCAATACAAAGTCATCTTGTTTCTCGTTTAAAATTATATTTATAATTTTAAAATATCTATATATTGCCCAGCCCTAGCTGTAGCCTATACTACACTGCTTACATTATTTCAGAATTTAATTTCACTATGTAAAAAAAAAAATACAGTCAATTGCAGAAAGCCTCTTTCTAAGATGAATAATAAAGCATCATTGGAATAATTTAATTTCAAACCACTGAATAGACCAATGCAGATGTCAAATATTTACATTTCTACACTTAACTTACCTTGACATTTCTTGATGAACTGTAGACCGAGGGATAGTCTGTTAAGGTGTTGTCGCTGGTGTTGTGCGCTGTGGCACAGTTGGTGTTTGTTGCGGGCCCTCTGCTTGTAGATGAGCATTCAGTAAATCCATAAGGTTTCTCGTAACTTCTCGGATGGAACCAGTCTAAAGAAATACAACAAAAAACACAGAAAAAGTTGTATTTGGTTATACAGCAAATGGGAAACACCTACAAATTGAAAAAAATTGTAATTGGCTTGCACATTTATTGAAATTTATCAAGTCCAAGGCCTACAAAGCACTTTACACAACAGCCACACCCTTTTCACATGCTTACAGTGGTGATAAGCCAGATAGTAGCTACAGCTGCCCTGGGGCACACTGACAGAGGCGGGCCTGCTGAACACTGGCACCACCGGTCCCTCCGACCACCAACAGCAGGCAAAGTTGGTTAAGTGTCTTGCCCAAGGACACAACAGCAGCACTCTCTGGTTGGAGCTGGGATGGAACCTGCTGTTTATCTGGCCCTGACCCACGCCTTTTCCCTGACCATGCACCAACCTGCTTCCCTGGATTACCATGAGAATTTCAGGACTAAACTTTTAATAAAGCTTTTACACATTTTCTTATTTTCTGGTGTCATTACAGGTCCTCCACCTCAGCCATTACATTCATTTTCCTCTACATCTTCTGTGGTTTAACATGCAACAGTGAATTGTGCTGCATCATGGTACCACAGACTGTGTAATACAACATTTTGCGCATTTCACAGAAAACAAATGTTAGTTCGCTTACACCAGAAATACAACCTTACTCATTGCTGAGACTTAGAAACAGAAACTGTTTTTGTTTTGTTACTGCTTATGTAACCCCAGACTCAGTATTAGTAAGTTAGGCTCATTATGTTTAAAGACCAGCGGCTAGGTTTGACAGGATTACAAAAAGAAATAATGCAAGTGCAAAATGAAATGGAAGGAGGCAGGAATTGAGCAAAAATAGAAATTGTTATTTTGTTGGGGAAATTACTACTGGATTACACTCACTTAACATAGCATTAATATTTTCAGAAACATACAAACGGATTGAAAGCTAGCTGACGCGCCAGTCAGGGCAGGTGTTGTGTCAAAATGTGTTTCCCTATCAAAAACGGTTTTCTCCTACGGCTTTGGTCAAAATTTTCCATCGTTCAATTATAACGAGTTCCACTTTTTAATAACATTCTCTTACTTTGATGACCCATCTTGTTCATTACAGCGCGAGAAAAACATTGGGATATATTTATGTCGATGGATGAAACACATTTTGATAGTTAGCAGTTAGATGAGGAAACAATGTTCATGGAGTAAACGCTAACGAATAACTACTGTAATGTCCAAAGAGCTAACTATTAAAAACAAAGGTGGGAATACTAAACAAAAAACATCTACACTAGGTCCAGAGCTAGCATTGGGGACGAGTGATATGTTAGGGTAAAACTCAAATCTGCTGAGGCCATTTTATGAAAGTTGTAGCTATAGTGAATAACCTAATCCACCTAGCTATGTGCCCCTGTTGCAATATTAAATGCGAGGAGTCGTAAAAAGTAGCATAACAAAACAATTTTATGGAATAAACTGCAGCTAGTAGCCTTGAAAAATAACTTACTTGAGCGTCTTGTTGGTTCTGGTCCATTTTGCTGGTGCAGGTGAAACTCTCGCTCCAGATCAGAGCGGGTATTAGCCAGGCTGTTAGTGCGCAGATGCGGCAGCCACACAGGAAAATCCACAGAGCGCAAAACGAGCGCACCCCAAAGAGGTTTGTTCCCGCCCAGTCCCACAAGTCTTTCTATTGGCTGAGCGGTTGCTAGGAGATTGTACTTCTAAGTTTTGAGCGAGAGCAGACAAGATCCGTGAGAGCAGGGGACAGACTTGTGGGAGGAGTTTTGATCCGTGTAGAGAAAAAGTTGTCACATGAGAAGACAATACCAGTGTAAGAAGGTTAAATCTGAGCGCAAAAACAAAGATTTGAAGGAGAACAGAGTGAATTTGAAAGAGAGCAGACATTTTGAGCGCAAGCATTACAAGTTTTGAGAGCAATAATATAAAATAGTATTCTGAAATTAAAAAGATGGTCTCTTGATATGAAATTCTGGTCTCAAATTGAAAGTTCAACTGCTCAGTTTCTTGCACTTTAATTCTTCCACGCCTCCAGAGTGCCAAAACTCCCAACAGCCGAGCGAGCAGAATCAGAAACCGAGCGCGCAGAAAGGCTGCCACACGTGCAGTGAGGCTGCCGCACCGAGCACGCAGTGAGGCTGCCGCGCGCATGTTTTCCTCTGCCGTGTGCTCGTTGGCCAACGAGGTTTGTCACTTGTGCACATCCTTGTGCGCTCACAGACACAGTTTGCTCCCTCTCAGTGTACAAATGACCTCCTCGCCATGTATATTTTCACTCATGAGGTTCTAACCTCCACGCGCGAGTCCCGTTCGCACGCGCGATGTGCACAATACGCGTGCACGGGTTTTGGCTACGCTTGCACGGGTTTTGGCGGAAACCTGACACCATACCTTCTGACATCATAAAGAAACAAGCAGTCTCTTGACATCATAAAGAAACAAGCAGTCTGCCCCTGACATCATAAAGAAACAAGCAGTCTGCCTCTGACATCATAAAGAAACAAGCAGTATCTTTCTGTCATCATAAATAAACAAGCAGTCTCCTTCTGATATCATGCAGAAACAAGCAATCTCCTTCTGACATCATAAAGAAACAAGCAGTCTCTTGACATCATAAAGAAACAAGCAGTCTGCCTCTGACATCATAAAGAAACAAGCAGTATCTTTCTGACATCATAAAGAAGCAAGCAGTCTCCTTCTGATATCATGTAGAAACAAGAAGAAACAAGCAGTCTGCCTCTGACATCATAAAGAAACAAGCAGAATCTTTCTGACATCATAAAGAAACAAGCAGTCTCCTTCTGATATCATGTAGAAACAAGCAGTCTCCTTCTGACATCATAAGGAAACAAGTAGTCTCCTGACATCATAAAGAAACAAGCAGTCTGCCTCTGACATCATAAAGAAACAAGCAGTCTGCCTCTGACATCATAAAGAAACAGGCAGTCTGCCTCTGACATAAAGAAACAAGCATTTTACTTCTGATATCATGTAGAAACAAGCAGTATTTTTCTGACATCATAAATAAACAAGCAGTTTCCTTCTGATATCATGTAGAAACAAGCAGTCTCCTTCTGACATCATAAAGAAACAAGCAGTATCTTTCTGACATCATAAAGAAACAAGCAGTTTCCTTCTGATATCATCTAGAAACAAGCAGTATCTTTCTGACATCATAAATAAACAAGCAGTCTCCTTCTGATATCATGTAGAAACAAGCAGTCTCCTTCTGACATCATAAAGAAACAAGCAGTCTCTTGACATCATAAAGAAACAAGCAGTCTGCCTCTGACATCATAAAGAAATAAGCAGTTTCCTTCTGATATCATCTAGAAACAAGCAGTATCTTTCTGACATCATAAATAAACAAGCAGTCTCCTTCTGATATCATGTAGAAACAAGCAGTCTCCTTCTGACATCATAAAGAAACAAGCAGTCTCTTGACATCATAAAGAAACAAGCAGTCTGCCTCTGACATCATAAAGAAACAAGCTGTTTCCTTCTGATATCATGTAGAAACAAGCAGTATCTTTCTGACATCATAAATAAACAAGCAGTCTCCTTCTGATATCATGTAGAAACATGCAGTCTCCTTCTGACATCGTAAAGAAACAAGCAGTATCTTTCTGACATCATAAAGAAACAAGCAGTTTCCTTCTGATATCATGTAGAAACAAGCAGTATCTTTCTGACATCATAAATAAACAAGCAGTCTCCTTCTGATATCATGTAGAAACAAGCAGTCTCCTTCTGACATCATAAAGAAACAAGCAGTCTCTTGACATCATAAAGAAACAAGCAGTCTGCCTGTGACATCATAAAGAAACAAGCAGTATCTTTCTGACATCATAAAAAACCAAGCAGTCTCCTCCTGATATCATGTAGAAACAAGATATGTCTGATATATATCAGAATATATATATATGCTTGTTGAATATAAATCTTCATTAACACGTTTAAATGTTCGTTTTTTAAAAACATTAAAATCATCATTAAAACGTTTAAATTTTCATTAAAATGTTAAAATCTTCATTAAAACATTAAAATGTTCATTAAAACGTTAAAATGTTCATTAAAACAGTAAATTCTTCATTAAAACGTTTAAATGTTCATTTCTAAAAACGTAAAAATGTTCATTAAAATGTTAAAATGTTCATTAAAACATTAAATTATTCATTAAAACGTTAAATTGTTCATTAAAATGTTAAAATGTTCATTAAAACGTTAAAATGTTCATTAAAACGGTTAAATGTTCATTTTTTAAAAATGTTAAAATGTTCATTAAAACATTAAAATGTTCACTAAAACGTTAAAATGTTCATTAGAACGTTAAAATCTTCATTAAAAATGTTTAAATTTTCAATTTTAAAAACGTTAAAATGTTCATTAAAATGTTTAAATGTTCATGAAAACGTTAAATTCTTCATTAAAAGGTTTTAATGTTCATTTTTAAAAACGTTAAAATGTTGATTAAAATGTTAAATTCTTCATTAAAACGTTTAAATGTTCATTTTTAAAAACGTTTAATGGTTCTTTAAAACGTTAAAATGTTCATTTTTTAAAAACATTAAAATCATCATTAAAATGTTTAAATTTTCATTAAAACGTTAAAATCTTCATTAAAACATTAAAATGTTCATTAAAACGTTAAAATGTTCATTAAAACAATAAATTCTTCATTAAAACGTTTAAATGTTCATTTTTACAAACGTTACAATTTTCATAAAAATGTTTAAATCTTCATTTTTAAAATGTTAAAATGTTCATTAAAATGTTTAAATGTTCATTAAAACGTTAAATTCTTCATTAAAACGTTAAAATGTTCATTAAAACGTTAAAATGTTCATTAAAACGTTAAAATGTTCTTTTTTAAAACGTTAAAATTTTCATTAAAATGTTAAAATCTTCATTAAAACGTTTAAATTTTCATTAAAACGTTAAATTCTTCATTAAAACGTTAAAATGTTCATTAAAATGTTAAAATGTTCATTAAAACGTTAAAATCTTCATTAAAATGTTTAAATGTTCATTAAAACGTTAAATTCTTCATTAAAACGTTAAAATGATCATTAAAATGTTAATTTCTTCATTAAAACGTTTAAATGTTCATTTTTAAAAATGTTTAATGGTTCTTTAAAACGTTAAAATGTTCATTTTTTAAAAACATTAAAATCATCATTAAAATGTTTAAATTTTCATTAAAACGTTAAAATCTTCATTAAAACATTAAAATGTTCATTAAAACGTTAAAATGTTCATTAAAACAATAAATTCTTCATTAAAACGTTTAAATGTTCATTAAAACGTTAAAATGTTCTTTTTTAAAACATTAAAATTTTCATTAAAATGTTAAAATCTTCATTAAAATGTTTAAATTTTCATTAAAACGTTAAAATCTTCATTTTTAAAACGTTAAAATGTTCATTAAAATGTTAAAATCTTCATTAAAACGTTAAATTCTTCATTAAAACGTTAAAATCTTCATTTTTTAAATGTTAAAATGTTCATTAAAATGTTTAAATGTTCATAAAAGCGTTAAAATCTTCATTAAAACATTAAATTATTCATTAAATCGTTAAACTGTTCATTAAAATGTTAAAATGTTCATTAAAACGTTAAAATGTTCATTAAAACGGTTAAATGTTCATTTTTTAAAAACGTTAAAATGTTCATTAAAACATTAAAATGTGAACTAAAACGTTAAAATGTTCATTAGAACGTTAAGATCTTCATTAAAATGTTTAAATGTTCAATTTGCAAAACTTTAAAATGTTCATTAAAATGTTTAACTGTTCATTAAAACGTTAAATTCTTCATTAAAACGTTTAAATGTTCATTTTTAAAAACTTTAATATATTCATTAAAACGTTAAAATTTTCATTTTTAAAAACGTTTAATGGTTCTTTAAAACATTAAAATGTTAATTTATTGAAACAAGCAGTCTCCTGACATCATAAAGAAACAAGCAGTCTCCTGACATCATAAAGAAACAAGCAGTCTGCCTCTGATGTCATAAAGAAACAAGCAGTATCTTTCTGACATCATAAAGAAACAAGCAGTCTCCTTCTGATATCATGTAGAAACAAGCAGTCTCCTTCTGACATCATAAAGAAACAAGCAGTCTCCTGACATCATAAAGAAACAAGCAGTCTGCCTCTGACATCATAAAGAAACAAGCAGTCTGCCTCTGACATCATAAAGAAACAAGAAGTATCTTTCTGACATCATAAAGAAACAAGGAGTTTCCTTCCGATATCATGTAGAAACAAGAAGAAACAAGCAGTCTGCCTCTGACATCATAAAGAAACAAGCAGTATCTTTCTGACATCATAAAGAAACAAGCAGTCTGCCTCTGATATCATAAAGAAACAAGCAGTTTCCTTCTGATATCATGTAGAAACAAGCAGTATCTTTCTGACATCATAAATAAACAAGCAGTCTCCTTCTGATATCATGTAGAAACAAGCAGTCTCCTTCTGACATCATAAAGAAACAAGCAGTATCTTTCTGACATCATAAAGAAACAAGCAGTTTCCTTCTGATATCATGTAGAAACAAGCAGTATCTTTCTGACATCATAAATAAACAAGCAGTTTCCTTCTGATATCATGTAGAAACAAGCAGTCTCCTTCTGACATCATAAAGAAACAAGCAGTCTCTTGACATCATAAAGAAACAAGCAGTCTGCCCCTGACATCATAAAGAAACAAGCAGTCTGCCTCTGACATCATAAAGAAACAAGCAGTATCTTTCTGTCATCATAAATAAACAAGCAGTCTCCTTCTGATATCATGTAGAAACAAGCAGTCTCCTTCTGACATCATAAAGAAACAAGCAGTCTCTTGACATCATAAAGAAACAAGCAGTCTGCCTCTGACATCATAAAGAAACAAGCAGTATCTTTCTGACATCATAAAGAAACAAGCAGTCTCCTTCTGATATCATGTAGTAACAAGAAGAAACAAGCAG